ACTCTTCAGGTGTGAGGGTCTTCTGCTCAGAATGAAACGCTAAAATGTTTGTATATATTCTAATGGTAGTGGGGGCAGGGTGTGTGGGAACAGGTTTGGTTTAAATTGCATTGGAGATCTATGTTCTTCACACCTGAAACATTTTCTCTGAAAGCATTTTCTTCGCAGTTTAACCGATCTTATTTTATAAAAGCAAGATTGCTCAGTTGCACAAAAGTACACAACCTTCCACCTTCATCATAAATTAATTATGCAGAAATATTTTATGCATCAAAGTCTTTCACTTGGTAGCTTCTGGTTCTGGTTTTAACATGGTTGTTCTGACATTATTAAGCTTATATTCTGTACATCATAAAAAGTTATAACGTTTTATCCTTTTCTAACAATATGTAGTAAGAACACCACTTGCTATTATTGTAAAAAGATAAATGTTGTAGTGATTTAAAATCACTTGATAGTTATTTTAATATGGAGTCATGTAACTAACCAGCTAAAATATCACAAAGGGACATTTTGGGAACATCTGACGTTCCCTTTTAAAAAAAAAAATATTATTGTCCTTATAATGTTAATAGGCAATGGACTGTCATGTAGTGCGCTGCACCCAGGCGGTTCAAAGCCCAGTCACAGAATTACTTTGTTTCTTATATAGCCGAATATATAAATAGTCCACTATTATAGCTTGTTGTTGGCTACGGTGAGTGTGTGTATCTGGATGAATTGTTATGAGTAATGGATTCATGATTTAGGACTCTTTTGAATGAGTTTTAATCAACTTTGTCTGTCAGTGTAAAAAATGACTGAGTGTACTTTTCCTTCTCCCCTGGTGCAAGGTGATTATCCGGAAAACAAGTTTTTTATTTTACTGAGAGTGTGAACCTTGAGTGAGCACTGAGGTGCACAATGAGATTAACACAATTAGATTACTGAAATGGATAATTTTAGTAAATATGTTGACAAATATCAGAATTTTTGCTTTCACGAGGAAAGATACAATTTTATCGAGCTGTGAATCAGCTACATTATGTGACCTTGCCCCTGTGAATCTTCTAGGAAAGAGTCTTAGTGGGCAGCGTTACTCACAGTGTAGTGCCCATAGATTGTTAGTTTTAATGCATTGTACAGCATAAAGTATAATATACAGTATAAAGCAAATATGTTTTTTTAAATGTTTATAATCGCTATTCTTGCAAATACATTTTGTATGGAGTGTACCTTGAAAAGCGTGGAAAACTGCACCAAACGTTTTCGGCTCTGTATGTGGCTCAAGCCATTCCTCTTTGGCACTTTAGTCATAGAGATGGGAAGACGCCTCCCCTCTCCCCATTACCTCTGCCTCCCAGACCTGTTCCCATTTTTAAGCATTCTGCGTCCGAATCGCAGTGGGTGAGAGGGAGTAGAGAGAGAAAGAAAAAATTGAACCCTGGTTTAATTTTGTGATATTTTACCTTAATTTTTTATTTTATAAGTTTGTATTTTACTTCTTTTATAATAGTCAGATTTAACCTATGTTTGAACAGTCTTGCAAACTAATGTTTTTACAAGATGTGGAAGAAGTGCAACAATTTATCACAGTGTGAATTTTAATACAAATTATTGATTACTAATAGTTTATGCACCTGACACCTGACTTTATTTAGATATATATAAAATATTAGACTGTGAAATAACATTCAGAAATACAATTGAAAATAGTCTGATATTTGTG